AAAGAAGGGCTTGGTCTAAAAGTTTTATATTTCCTCTCACTTTTTAAACATTGGAAAAACCATTTGGCTCAGAGAAATGAATAGTAAAAGGAGTTCTAACTACCTGGCGCCAACAGAACGTAATGGAAACAAGGCAAGAATATGGCTGGACTTTATTTTCTTTTCGCTCAGCACATCCTGTCTTTAATCTGAAAGGTAAATAGGCCATGCCCAACATCCCAACTCTTTTCAGGTGAAATTATCTAGGTTATAAAAACAAGCAACACTGTGTTTTCATTATTCCTTAGTTCGTAGCGGACAGAAATAGCTTCCAAAATAAATCTGAGAGGCAAATATCATGCACAAGGGAGCAAGCCCGCAAATTTTCCCTACACTGATAACTGACTTGTGTGAACTTTTTTTGTTTCACTTGAATTATAATTGGGTCATATTATCTGACAGAGTGTGATACAAAAGTCGGAGAAGAAATTCTTGAATCTTCATATTGGGGCTTTTTAAATCCAAGGAGGGGGGTAGAGAGAGAGAGAGAGAGAGAGAGAGAGAGAGAGAAGTAAAAGACAGGGAAGAGGTCATTTGCATATCATTAGTTAGTAAATTAACATCCTTGAGATAGCTAAATTACAAATATACATACTTTTGCAACACCTCTTTCCATAGCCACTAAAAATCAACTTATTTTACTCTGTAGCACACCCATTCACCTATGATTTTAGTCTCCTTGTCCAATTTTGTCCTGTATATTTAGCTTCTGTTGCTTTCCACCACCCTTTCTCTGGCTATTAAAACTCAGCAAATAGTCTAACAAAAACCATCTTCACCAATACAACATGTTAAGCTTCCTCTAACAAGACTCTGGATACATCGATTGATTCTTTGAAGCAACATCTGTCACATTCCTTTCACTGGATGTTATTTAAATCAAGAATTACCTTCATGGAATAATTTAAAGCAGCCTTCCTCAGAGGACTGGTTGCAGGGAAGTTAATAGGTATTCCACTAAAAAAGGTGGCATGGTCAAATGGAAATGCTTCGTCAGGAAAGTTAAACAGGGTCCCCTTGCTTTCCTTTTAACCACAAGATTTCACAGAGCCGCTAAAATGCAAATATATATTTCATCCCTCTAAGAGGAACAGAGAACATGCCAGGTTCCAAGTTAATTTGACAATGGAACACTTTATTCAAGGTCATTTCTGATCTTTGACCAGAGCTGGAGGTCTGTGGAACAGACTTGGGGTGGGGGGACCTATTTAAAGGTCAGGTTTCCTCATGAGGAATGAGCTGGCTAACATCTACTGGTCATGGCAGACACTCCACATCTGTCCATTCTGGACTCCCAGAGCGTACTAATGTTAGAAATAAAAAGAATTTAAGCTCAAAGCAAAATGGTCAGAGAGAATGCTTAGAGAAAACAAGATGAGGCTAGAACATACCAAAATTTCACTGAATGTGTGAAAATACATTTGTGTAGCACCATATGCAGCAAAAGGACCTTATATTTAGACTTTCTCTAATGTTGGGGAGAAAAGGGAACTATCTCAGCAACCCATTTAGAATACATATATGCCAAGAAGTCTTTCCCAGCCAATAGTTTGGGAGATGTCATCCAATCCAATTTAAAATTGGAAATCACTAGTACATGTTGCATTAAAAATATCACCAACTTGTTTTCAGCCTTGACAATAAAAAACACATTTGATATCTTTCAGGACAAATTAAAACATAGGAGATTAGATAACTTTTTAATATTTTTAAGGAAGGGCCTCCCCTGGTGGGGCAGCGGTTGAGCGCTGGGCTGCGAAGCTGCCCACAGCCTCTGCAGCGCAGGTTCGATCCCCGGCTGCCAGCAGGGTCCCACATGGCGCGCAGACCTCTCCTGACTCACCCGCTGCTCCCCTCAGCAGTGTATTTCATCAGTCTGCCTGTTCTGTTCCCCGCTCTGGCTCTGGTGAATTCTCTCACCCTCCCGTGCTTCTGATTGTACCCAGTGCTTAAATAAATAAATAAATCTTTTAAAAAAAATTAATATATTTAAGGAAGAAATACAAGCTCTAAAAAAAATTTGGGGTAGTATTTCAGGTGAAACTGATAGCAATTGCAAATTTGCAGACATTCATGTAACTGAACACACACAGCTTACTATTTTGAGAGATCATAAGGAATGGGGTATCAGGAAGCCAAGGTTAATCTTTATAGGTACAAATAGTTCCAACGTTGGAGAGATACCAAAAATACCAAGCCATTTGATTTCTACTTTTGAGCGCTTAACAATGAGGAAGTATGATTCTAGATGCCAGAATAATGTAATTGCACTAACTTCCACCCCCAAACTGCTGAAGAAAAAATGAGAAGCAATTGTGCTATTTTCAAATGGGAACTAAGATCTATTGAAACAAGAGGTCAGCGCCAGCTCCTTGTGAAGATGAAATGCAACCTTTGCTTGCATACCCTTTACCCAATGTTGACACACAAAGTTGAATCCCACACTATTAAATCTCTGAGCAAAACCTGAATTCCATATCTTGCTTTGAAGCTTCAGTAGCCCTCAGACAAAAAATTTCCATCCTGGCTTTAACCAAATGTGGCTTCTGACTCATTGGTTTCAAGGATTAGCAAGGGTCCAAAACATATGTGAGAAAGGCAGAGAAATAATCACTTTTGAAGCACAGCATTCTTAAACAAAGCAAGACCAGAGGAAGCTGAAGCTGCCCAGTAATGACAAGGCCATTTCCTCACTTCCTATAAAGCAACACAGGCTGACAAGATGAGGAGGAACCAGCACAAACACCATTTAGTGGGTCCTCTCCGTCTCTACACTCCCAACCCCCATTTTTTCCCTAAGTCCAATACTATACGACTTACCTATTTAGCCTATTTATTGTTTATTGTGTAGCTTCCTTGTTGGTCCTAAGAACAAGGCTCCCTGGTGAGTTTTTAACTGATAACCCTGGTGCCTGGAACAGTTCTGGGACACAGATGTTGCTCCCTAGATAGTTGGTAAATGAATGGTCAAACAATACTATTCTTTACTGTCCTTGGATCCTATAGTGCAAAACATAAGAAAAGGATTTTAGTCATTTCCTTTTTATCTAAAAATAATTCTTAGGCTTTCCCCCCTAAATCCTTAATCCAAAAAAAATTTTAAAAGAAAAATGGATACAAACCAGTTTGAAAATGTGCCATGTGGGTTAACTGACTTCAGCTTAACTTGCTTTTTTTTTTTTTAAAGTATGCTTGGTAAACATGTCTCTTTCTGAATGATTCTAGTTCCTAAATGAGTCATTTTTCCTTATTCCCCTTGATTTAAGCACTGCTCACTGAAATAAACCATTAGATCCCCATCACAAGTCAGGGTACTAAAGCCACATTTGTCTGGTGATTATGGTACCGGTTATGTCATAAATGCTAACTGTCCACCCACATAAAATCTGCTGAAGCAAAGAAAAATGGTAAACATTATAATGTAAGTATCAGGTCATCCCTTCACCATGCCACGATGTCTGGCACTCTTCCTGGGTGGCTGGTTCTCAGTCCATCCTCAGTTTAAAAGTGGGCGTGATTCAAGCACATAGAGGAAAGAATCAGGAAAATAAACAGAGGAAGCACCATCCATTCCCGGGTCCATGAATGAAAGTCCAGAATAGCTCTATTTTACCATCTGTTTGTTTTTCCATGAGAAGTTTCTAAAATTTGTTATTTGAAATCTTCTGATTGGGGTTCTAAAGACCCATGTAGCAAGGCAGCCTTGACCTCTGGACATCAGTGTGCAATCTCTCCTTGAAAGCTGCATCTCAGAGTGGCCTCCCTGGTGGCAAAATGTTAAGTCTCAGCATTATCACCTCTACAATCTGAGTTCGATGCTCAGCTAGGGAGCTAACCCAAATATGGTCCAGCGGACCTCTCCTGTCTTGCCCGCTGCACCCCTCCACAGTGTATTTCAGTCACTCCACCTGTTCTGCTCCCTACTCTGTCTCTGGTGAATCCACTCACCACCAGCACCTCTGGCCTACAGCCCAGTTCTTCTATGCATAAATAAATCTTTAAATAAAAAAATAGCCTCATCTCAGAGATCACTGCCCCAGGAGAATCCCTCTACCATCAGTGGGTGGGTAATGCCATGTCTTGTATTCTTCCCTCCATGTGTCTCTCTTCTCTACAGGAAGCATCTTGTTCCTCTTATATTCCTAACATCCAGTAAAATGTCTGGCTTACAGTAGAATCCAAAAAATGTTTGGATAAATAAAAATTTGAATAAGAACACATAAGTACACACCTCTACTAATGACTTTGAACTGTCTTGATACCTTAACCAACCATCCATCAGGGAAACAAGGATGTAAAGTCACATGCATTGATACCAAGCATGAAACTAAAAGAGGCAACCCCACTCCTAGAAATCTATATGGTTCTCTTTATTGTGGGGAATAAGACACCTTCCACATATTATGACTATAGCAGAAAAGGACCTTTGACAAATAAAAACAGTTGTGTATTATGTACTTTGTTGGAGATGAGCAAATAGAGGGAAAATTCAGTAAACTGCTACCTAATTTCCTCATCATTCAAAAAACCCAGTGAGTTTTGGTAGTTAACTAAGTTAAAAAAAGTCTCTATTTTGTTCCTTAGCTAGAATTTTAAGAAACACTCTACTTATAAAGCCAATAATTAAATTTTACACATACACGCAACATGAGTGCACACACACACACACGCGCACACACACACACTGCAGTATACTTCAAAACCAGTAAATAATGGTTTTATGATTCAAGATATTATTTGGAAAGAGACCCAAATGTGCTTTTGATATTATTTGGATATTGCTTTGAGATTATTTGGATATTGTTTTGATATTATTTGGAAAGAGACCCAAATGTGGACTTTCAAAGCAGGATCCTATCGTAACAAACCATGGCTTCCCTGCCAGCCACAGTAATACACCCTGTTCTTTCACAATTTTTCCCTTTGCCTTTGCTCATAATGAAACATCAAGGAAAACTTACAGCTGTGCAAAAGATGCACTGGCACTCCTGCAACGTGGTCATCTTGTCCAGAGACTGTTCGCACAGGCAGAGTTTGCAAGTGACGAGGGGGGCCAATGCCAGGTCTCCAGGCGTTGGATTTTCAGTGGTCATGGTGAGACAGTGCAGCCTGCCAACTGAGCCCATCAGCCTCTCTTCAGTCTTCTTCCGTCTCCTCAATCCCTACAGAAAGGTCCAAAGAACAAAATATTTTATATATTGATACAACTATTGCAACCAACAGAGCAAATCCTCACCCTCTCTGATCTCTCAGCATACAGCAAATGTATTCCTGAAAGCACGGTCTAGAGAGTTTGTCCCTTTGACAAGGTATCTCTGGAATCCTAAAATTTTAAGGTGATCTCAGTGTTCTTATTTCTGGAATATAAACTACGGAAATCAGAAAACCACTATGAATAAACATGCCACTTCAGAGCCAAAGCACTTTTATAAAAGATTCAATGGATACAAAGATTACTTAAGAACAGAATGTCACTCAAAAAGTTAAAGAATTATCACAATTCAGCAGACTCTACTTCTAGGTATATACCCAAAACAGATGCTGGTCCACCCCTGTTCATAGCAGAATTATTCCTAACAACCAAAAGGTAGAAACAATCCAATGTCCATTAACAGATGAATAGTCAGACAAAATGTGTTGTAAACCAGGCCTCCCTGGCGGCGCAAGAGGTTAAGCACTGCACTATAAGCAATCCTCAGCCTCTGCAGCACGAGTTCTATCCCCAGCCCGCCAAGGAGCAACCCACATGGCAAGGCAGACCTCTTCTGGCTTGCCTGCTGTTCCTTTGAGCAGTATATTTCAGTCAGTCTTCCTGTTCTGTTCCCCCACTCTGTCTCTGGTGAATCCTCTCACCCCCCACATCTCATCTCTGGCCTGTACCCCAGCTGTTGTATGCATAAATAAATAGATCTTTTAAAAAAAAAAAAGTGTTATAAACCTATAATGGAGTATTATACAGCCTTTAAAAAGGCATGAAATGCTGACACATGCTACAACATGAATGAACCTTAAAGATCTTCTACTAAGGGCCTCCCTCGTGGCACAAGGGGTTAAGACGCAACCTATGAAGCAATCGGTAGCCTCTGCAGCACGAGTTCGATTTCCCGGCCGGCCAGGGAGAAACCCAGATGGCGCAGCAGACCTCTCCTGACTCTCCCACTGCTCCCCTCAGCAGTGCACTTCAGTCAGTCTGCCTGTTCTGTTCCCCACCCTGTCTCTGGTGAATCCTCTCACCCCCCACACCTCTGGCCTGCACCCCAGCTCTTGTATGCATAAATAAATAAATCTTTAAAAAAAACACAAAGGGCAAATACTATATGATTCCATTTACATGAGATAGCTAGAGCAGTCAAATTCACAGAGACAGAAAACAGAACAGGGTTACCAGTGACTAGAAAGAGGAAGAAAGTGATTTGATGAGTAGGGAGTTTCTTCTCGGAATGAAAATGTTCTGGAAATAGTTTTGGAGAGTGTAGTGTTTGCACAACACTGCAAATGTACTTAAGACCACTGCCTTGTACAGTTAAAATAGTCAAAAAGGTGAAGTTTTATGCTATGTCTATTTTGCCACAACAAAAAACTATTTTAATAGTGTGAATGTTTGCTGTATTTCTTCACATGCATTAAATCATTTACTCTTCTGCAGCCATAATGATTATTTTCTTCACTTTAGAGGTGAAGTCTTAAGTAGTTAAGTGACCACCCAAAGTTCTCAGAGTTTGTCCATAGAGGAGTAAAACTCAAACTCTCCATCTTCTGAGGCAAAGCCCAGGGTCTGGTGCATTCTGGTAGCACTGTCTCACAGTGGCTACTGATGTGGTGGGGTGGGGCAGGGAGAGTGAGAAGAAAGGTAAAGAGAGAGAGAAAATATGAAATCCGTGACAACAGCTATCCTTAGGGTCACTGAAGTTGTACAGGAATAAAATTTGTCTCCACATGTAGTATGACTATAGAAAAGGGGATTTTTTAAAAAAAAGATTTTATTTATTTATTTTTGCGTGGAAGAGATAGCATGTAGGCCAGAGGTGCAGGGGGGATGAGAGGATTAACCAGAGGCAGAATGGGGAGCAGAACAGGTGGATTTAGTGAAATACACTGCTAAGGGGAGGAGCAGGCAAGAAAGGAGACATCTGCTGCACCATATGTGGGTTAGCTCCCTGGGTGATGATCAAATTCAGGCTGTAGGGGTGACAGAGCTAAGACTTAGCCCCTAGACCACCAGGGAGGCCCCTAGGAAAGGCAATTTCTATACTGAAAAATAAAAATTCTTTTTTTTAATTTATTTTTTCAAGATGATCTTAAATTTATTTTTTTATTTTTTATTTTTTTTTAATAAATTTTATTTTTATATTCCCCATACAATTGCAACCCCTTTATTTTGACCCCAATCCCTCCCCTCCCTGCCCCCCACCCCCCATAGAGTGTCTCTGGTTCATAGTTATTTGTTGATTTTGATTTTCACTTTCTTATAGTTATTCATTTTCCTGGTCCCTTATTTAAGTTTTCTAGATCCCTGCTATGAGTGAGACCATCCGGTATTTTTCTTTTTCTTTCTGGCTTATTTCACTGAGCATGATCCCTTCCAGCGCCATCCATGTTGCTGCAAATTGCATGTGTTTATCTTTTTTGAATGCTGAGTAATATTCCATGGTGTATATGGACCACATCTTCTTGATCCAGTCATCTATTTTTGGGCATTTGGGCTGTTTCCAAAGCTTAGCTATTGTAAACAGTGCTGCTGTAAACATAGGGGTGCAGGTGCTCTTTGGAGTGGATGTTTCTGTGTCCTTTGGGTAAATACCTAGGAGTGGAATTGCTGGATCATATGGAAGCTCTATGTTTAGTAGGTCCAGAAATCTCCACACAGCTCTCCACAGTGGTTGGACCAGTTTGCACTCCCACCAACAGTGCAGAAGAGTTCCTTTTTCTCCACACCCTCGCCAACATTTGTTGTTGCTAGTTTTTTTAATATGTGCCATTCTCACTGGTGTGAGATGGTATCTTTGCATTTCCCTGATGACAAGTGATGTTGAACATTTTTTCATATGCCTGTTGGCCATTTGCATTTCCTCTTCAGAGAAGTTTCTTTTTAGCTCTTCTGCCCATTTTTGACAGGATTATTGAAAAATAAAAATTCTAACTGAAACCTTCCACTAGATTGTATTCAGAATATTTAAAGAGACAAATTGCAAAAATAATCTTCCTGCATATTCATATTTTATAGCACATAAAGTCACCTCATGTTCTGATTAAATAAGAGCAACATTCTAAAACTATTACTCTTTTAATAAGTTCTTCCACAGAAATAATTGCACGTAGCCTCTCATCCTACAAGAACCATTCTATCCCTCCCAGGTTGCTTCAAGGTCATCTTGTCTCTTACTACTCCTTTGTTTGTGAATTGCATGCTTATAGGTTAAGAAACCAAAATTATAAAAATATGAAGATATCCATCCCCACTAAAAGTTTCCTCCTTCCTTCTTTATTCAGCATTATTTTGTGTCTGTGATAAGAACACAACATAAGATCTACCCACTTCACAGTGTTAACTAGAAGCATTAGCTCTTCCACAAATGTGTACTGTTAAAAAACAAAATTCTGTGGCCTCCCTGGTAAGTCTGAGTGCTATCACCCCTACAGCTGAGTTCGATCCCCGACCAGGGAGCTCCCACATGGAGCAGTGGGCCTCTCCTGTCTCGCGTGCTGCTCCCCTCAGCAGTGTATTTCAGTATAATCTGCCTGTTCTGCTCCCCACTCCATCTCTGGTGAATCCTCTCATCCCTACACCCTTGGCCTACTCTCCCCAATTCTTCTATGCAAAAATAAATAAATAAATTTCAAAAAATTCTACTGCACACATTTTAAAGACCTTCCTGGCTTTATTCAAGAGTTCCTGAACCAGGCTTTAGCCCACCTAGCAAAGAGAAAGGAGTTTGAGAAGCTGTACAAAATACAAAAATTTTATATGTAGAACAAGAGAGGAATATATGGGAAAGTAAATTGCTTTTGGCAAGGTCAAGTTCCTTTGGGGGAGGCAGGGGTCTATGAGGCAGAAGACCTCACACTAGTGCAGACCAGGTGGTTCCTGAATGACTAGTTTATGATTCCATTTCTTGGAGAAGATGAAACTGTAATTAAGTCTCAGTATGGTGACAGGGAGTTTAGCATGAGTGTCTATTTTGGACCCATTGTCTGTTTTCAACAATACTTATCTATAATCTCATCAAATTGTATATGCTAAATATGTACAGTTTTTTGTCTGTCAACCATCCCTCCGTAAAGTGGTTTTAAAATATATAATTATGAAAATGGCTTATGCCATTCAAAAACTTTTTACAAAACAGAGGACTAACTTCTTAAAAGAAAAACAATTTCCAGCATCCAGTCTAGGCAGTATTTGCGACTCAGTGAGAGAGAGGCACAGTCACATATTTTATCTCTTCTGATGTGAACAATCCAAAACAATTCTTCAAAAAGAAGTGATTTGTTTTTCTGTGGACAAAACAATTCCCCAATGTGTTTAAAGCATGGGGGAGTTATAAAAACAAAATATTAACTGCTGCCACATAAAAGAATAAGGCAGGAGACCCAGTGTAGGTCCTGCTGACCTCCCAGGCACCATCACAGAAGCCCAGGGAAAGCAGCCCTTTGGTTTTTCACTCTGGGCAAAAATCAATAACGAGCATTTTCAAAATGAATGGCACATAGTGAACACTTCATTCAAAAAGAATATCAAACAAGGAATCCTTTCATCACTGAGTCATTAGAAATGAAGACACTCAATGCCATTTGCAGCAACATGGATGGAGCTGGAAGGCATGATCCTCAGTGAAATAAGTCAGAAGAAAGGATCTTCCCTGGTGGCCTCCCTGGTTAAGTCTCAGCACTATCACGGCTACGGCCTGAGTTCGATCCCCAGCCAGGGAGCTAACCTACATATGGTGCATGGATACATCAATCAGGCATAGTTAAAGAGGCTAAGTGAAACAGAAAGCTATCAGAATCAATCAACTGGATTTTACTGATGTAAGAGAATTCTGATGGACCTAAAATCCCAGGGGATCTGTGTTGAGGACTTAATTCCAGTTTATATCATGAAATTCTCCAAGTTTGCTCAAAAACAGGGGTCAGAACAGAAGAGGAAGTTCCTGAATATTCTCAA